AATCTTTCCTCCAGTTCTGGCATACATCCACTCTTAGGATTGTGGATAATGTCAAAAGTTGGGCTGCTGGGTACAGTGCCACCAGGACTCAGGGAAAAAACCCACATAATATCCTATCATTAATCCAGGATGAGCACAAGCTTTGTTTCAAGCTTTTTGTAAAACTGCAATTTAAATATAATATTTCTTATATAATAAAAGGCTGAGTCCATCTGTCTGTCGGTCCCTAATGTTCTTGGACCACTCTGATTGGTTAGTGAAACAACCAATTAGAGTGTGGAGTGCCGCCATGATGGCAGGGATGGAGGGAACAGAACGGGGGCAGGGGGAGGCGAGGCTAGCAGCGCTGGCCTGGTCCCCCCACTCTATCCCCACCATCACGGTGGCGTTCTGCCACCTCCGAGGAGCAGGGCCGGGGGGACAGGGTGAGGCCAGTAGTGCTAGAGGCAGCAGCAGCAGCATGGGGTGCTGGCAGAGGGGGACGGAAGGGATGGTGGGGCAAGCTTTCCCCCTCTCCCCCTGCTCCTGGGAGGTGATGGTGGAGCAGGGTGGTGGCGCTCTGTCCTATCCCACCCCCCCCAATCATTCTTGACAGACAATTCACTAGTTTATAAATAAAACTGAAGAAAGTTTTGAAATGAAAAATAATTTTGACTGGAAAAAACAGAAATATTTCAATCCAAAGTATTAAAAACACAGCCTCTTGAAGTTTTAATTTTTTAAAAAATAATTATTTGTGTCAGAAAAAAAGTGTTTTGGTCCGAGTAAAGCATCGCTTTTTATTTAAAAAAGTTTTAATGGAAAAGCCACACTTAAGTTGAAGTAATTTCTCTTTGCCAAGAAATTTCAGAATGTTTAAAGCATGTCAAGCTATCCTAAGCTGGTCACCTCTATTGTTACATCTAATTTCCTCCAGTTAAAGCAGTTATCAGTACTGTCAAATTCACCAATTTGCCTAAAATTACTGATTCATTTACATAGTCACACGATATGCTAGCTTCAGTCACTTACACAACACAAAACATTACCTCAATTTTAGTGAAATCAGCCATTTAGGAAAGATGGACCAAGAGACTAAAATCCTTTCCACATTGCTCCAACCTATGCTTCAGCCATGGTGTATAGCTGAAGTAAAAAAATAATTTAATATTTGGCCTCTCTAGTAATATAAGCAAAGATACAATTCAGTGCCATCTGCCATACTGGCAATTGTAATATGGACACATTAATTAAGAAATGGACTGAGACCATCAATGCATTTGCCACAGAAACAAATAGTTACCACATAGTAACATATTTAGCTCACTAATTCCTGTGAACTGGTGCAGGGGTTAAAAAGTAATCACTTTATTGTAGATGAACCAACTATAACACGAGACTAAGTTGGCAAATATTTAGTTAAACAATGGCAAAATAATTGTCAAAACTTCAGCAGGGTCAAGATTTCACCAATTATATGCACCTAAGGATCAACACCAAGAACTCTAGACAAAGTGAAGAAGTAAAGAGCTTTTTCACATTTTCATTGTGCAAAGCCCAGCTCTTATAGAAGAGGTTATTGATGAAGCTTGATGTATGGGTGATGTAAAACACAATGGTGACCTTGTTTTTATGAAGAAGTAAACGAGGCCTCTGTGGACTATCAAACGAATGTGTTATTAATAACTTTATTATTTATTATTAAGTTGTTTCTAATATACTTTGGGAAAAAAGCTTATTTAAGTGGCTGATACCCAAACTTTTTATACAGGTTTAATACAAATATTAGATAAATTATGTTTTTAGCCTCTTCTGTATCACTGGTAATGAAAGAAAAGAGGGTGGGAAGAAAAGCACTTCAATTATTATGCAAAAATACATCTTGAAGTTGCACAGTAATGTATTAAACCAGAACAGTGAATAAAATGTTATTCTCCCTGAGGCACAAGGGCTCATTGTGCTGCCAGAAACAATTTAAAACAAATTTCCACCCAGTCTTTGTAGTTAAACATGAAGAGATTTATCTGAAGAAAATGCATTACAGAATGGCAAAGACAGCAGAGACTACTATTACTGTACCAAAGCACACTAGCCAAAACTGAGGAATTAGTATAAAAGTCAAATAAAAAAATTAAAAGTAATTCCTGTGACATATTACTAAGAGATGAAAGGTGTTTAAATATAGAATACAAGCTCAAAAATACAGATATTATCATTTCAGCAGTGAAATATGTACTGCAAAACTGATATCATACTTATTAGATCCACATATCACAGTGCTCTTTAGAGTGTGGAGAGACTATAGAGGCTATTAATGGATTCTCCAAAATGATTACACAAATGGCTACTTTCAGATATTCTTCGTAATGTACACATATTTTTTCATAATTTTTAATAATCTCTTGAAAGTTAGAAAGTAAATTTGGTTTCTCTACTGAAGTGGATTTCTCTTTCCCACTAGTGATTTGGTATTGTAGGGCAGGATCCTAATTGCTGAATTATTGACTGATTTTTAAAATTTGTCATGGGCTTTGTAAACACATAATAGGGAGGAAAAGTATCATGCTGCAAGGCTTATCAATCTTGACAGTGTCTCTTTAACATTTTAGAGTTAAACTATGCTAAGTTAGTAGCATGTTACGCTCTTGAAAGATTGACTGCTTCTGCATATTCACAACTTCTTAAAAACCAAGCTTATTATACCATGACACAAAATAAATTAATCTAAAGCCAAAAGATTCTAATGTAATTTCTCATGAGACCATCACAGTGGAAAACAAACTATTTTCCTTTTTTAACTCTACAAGATGTTAGTGCATATACCAAAATCCAAGCCATGCTCCTGTAAACCCTACCTCTAAGAATGTGACGGCTTTGTCTACAATGAATTTGAAATATGATTTACTATAAAACTGCTTGAAACTGCGAGGCTTTAACAAAATCTAAAACATCTACATAAGAAGAGGAAAAGAGCTTCTGAATAGATAAAAGTAAAATCTTGATTCTTATATAAAATGTTATGCATTTTAATATGATTTTTTGCCTGATTTATGTAAAGCTTTGTGTTTTTCATTTTCCCTAGCCTGTCACATTGTAGTGATGTATAGTGCATTTTAGCATCAAGTTTGCCATAAGCAATAAAGTCAGTGCCCCCAAAGAAATATTAATATATTTCTACTCCCCCCCCCACCAGAGTTTTCTATTATTCAGCTTATTTGGTTTCACTTCACACAGTTGGTTGACATCATTTTCCAAGTCCCTCACACAAATACTTAAAGGTTTTACATTTTAAAAATCCCAAAGAAGAAGTGGATGGAATGAAATGGGGAATATTATTTCCAGTATTAAAAAGCTAGGATTGAGGCCATATAGGGGGAAAAAACAGGAAGACATTCTACGCCTTCAGAGAGACAGAATGAAATACAAAAAAGAATGTCTAACTTATTTCATAAAAGCATAACAATTATTTCTTAAATAAGGGCTCTCTCTTATGTAAAAATAGGCCATGTATTCCTGAAGCATTCAAAAGTGATCAAATGTAGCACACCACATGCATCATTCAATAAAAATCTTTGTTCATAAAGTATCCTGATCACATTTTTTTTAAAAGTGGAATGTAACCAGATAGGAAAAAACCCACAAGCAATACCAAGTGTAACAGAAATATAAAGAAGCATGTTCCCTAGAGATAAAAAGTCTATAAGATAGACCCTAAGGAAGAAATACTTCCAGAGAATACCTGACAGAAAAGAAGCCATCAAGGAAATCTCATATGAGTCTTTATCATATAAAAGACATGAAAACCATGCAACTATGTAGTCACATTTAAATATCTTTACTGTGTAGCTTTAGGGTTGTGCAATAAAGTTCATAACAAAAAGTTTACATTGTTTTGTAACATAGTTGTCAACTCTTTACAATATTCTCACCATCTAATTAATTGAAACAACATGTCAATATGTTCAATCACTCAGAAATATCACACAACCAACTTTTCAAAAATAAATTCTTTAAGCTTACAAAAATCTGTAAATGAAACATGTTGGCATTTACAAACACACAGAAGGAAGAATGTTTTATTTTCATGTGCAAAATAATCAGTAGAAAATAGACTGGTAAAACAGCCCTTTCAGAAAGAACTTATTTTGTCTTTGAACTTTGCTAGCACCATTTTAGTCATGTGAGAGTTTGCAGCACTCCAGCCTGTCAAGAGACATACATGAGCACCTCTAGTAAAATGGTAGTCATAACTGTGTTTTATAGATTATGAACAAACATTGGCTTTGTCATGGGAGAAAATGCTTTTTTGTAGCACAAAGCATAAGTATTCAGACATCCTTGTCACTTTTTGTGGGACAAAGCCCCCCAAAAGTTCATACAATAAGAGGTAGTAATAGTTTGTCCCATACTATCACAAAGGACATCTGAACAGTTGTCATCTCAGGACAAGCAGGCTGGTTACTCCTCTAGCCCACTGCTTTATTCCCAATCCCAGCCCCTCTTGAACTCTGTGTTGCTGCTCTTGCCCTGATTACAAAACTCTACCGCCCAAAGGTGTCAGACCTCTAGTGACCTCCCCTACCAATTAACTGTCCTGCATGGTAACATGCCAGCCATTTCATGCTCACCACCCACCCAAGATCATCCTCAGAGCCTGCATTCACCACAACAACCTCAAATGCCATCAATCTCCAAGCATCCAGGTTGTAGCTGCATTGGTCAAGAGGCAAAAAGAATCAGAACTCATGGTAGAGGTGACATCTTTTATTAGGTCAACTAGACTGTTGCAAAAAAAAATTCTTTAGTTGCATGCTTTTGGGCACAAGCACCCTTCTTCAGGCCTGAAGAAGGGTGCTTGTGCCCAAAAGATTGCAAGTAAAGAATTTTTTTGCAAAAATCTAGTTGGCCTAATAAAAGATTTCACTTCTACCATGAGTTCTGATTCCCATCAATCCCTAGGAACTTCCATCCACCTAACCCTCTGGCTGCTGAAGAAACCATCTGACTTATCCACCACCCAACTGCACCAATTTTGGATTTACATACTCCCTCGACCACGGCCCTTCAATCTGACTGCAGCACTGTGAACAAATGTGGGAGCCAGGGAGGCAGTGGAACTCATTGCTATGTGGGGGTGAGATCAAGAAACAGCAGGTGTCTCTGCCAAGCCACCAAAACAAAGTGGTCTATGAACAGATTGTGAAGGAATGGTAGCTCAGGAATATGACTGACTTAAGACCAGTACTGATCCAAGTGCATAGTACTGAGGCAGCAGTTCATGAGAACACAGCATGGTAACAGTGCTGAGAGCACACAGGGTCAGGTGCACTCAATGTGAGGAACACTCCCACACCTTTGTCCGAAAACGGTAGCCTGCACCACCCGGAAGAGTGACAAAGACACTGATGTGACTATGGTTGAAGGCCCACAGCTCCTGCAGGCCAACACATCAATCTGGGCAGTGAGCCAGACTGGGGACTCCCAAGTCCATCCGCCTGAGCCATGAGGACTCAATGGCCATCCGTATGAGCCATGTGGACTCTGAAATAGACCCAGGCTTGGACAACAAGGCCTGGAGTTACCTGCCTTCTCCAACCCCTGTCTTCAGTATCCCTGTCACAGCCAGCCATCTCTCAACAGGGATCCAGTGTCCCAGTGTGCCAAAAATAGAACAAATTCTGCCACTGGTGATGGTAAATGGCAGCCGAGAGGTTGGGCAACAGGGGGGTGTTAGGTGAGGAGTTGGAGTGCTCTGGAACCATAACTGTGCTTGAGGACTACCCTGCCATGCTCCCCTCCCTCTCCCCCTTGTCAGAAATGATCCCAGCAGGGTGCAGGGCCTGGGGGAAAGCAGCCTGCGTGGGGCCCCCCTCTCCGTCCCATGGTACACTCATGCTGGAGAGTGAAAGCCCCAGCAAACCAGATGTGGTGGGATGGATGGCAGCCAGGACTTCCAGCTGGAACAGGCAAAGAGCCACCCAACCCATTGGGTGGGTGGGTCAGCTAAACTGCAGCCACAGCCTCTCCACCTGGCTCTGCGGGACCCTCCAAAGCATGGGGCCCAGGGTAATTGCCCTAGGGATGGCCCTGCACCTTGCGCAAGTGTAGTGTGCTAGTCGGTACCACTTTAAGCACAGCTGGGGATTAACAGAACTTCTTTTTTTTCATTTGTTTTTGGGGGCGCATCTATAACAGTCTGAACTGTCATTGTGCTGTGAGTCCCACTTTAGTTAG